GCTCGTTGGATACGTTCTTAACGTCTAGTTTTTGTATACTTTTTTGAATACTGAAGTTCCGAAAACTTTTCACTGTAGAAAATTCTAAACCTTTGAAATTGCAAACAGTTCACATATTTTTCTTAATCACACTATTCTAAATTTCAGTTGTTGAGAAAAGTAACTGTTGTAAGTTTTGTTTTAAAGTCTTTCCCACCAGAGGGCTAAAGCCATGTGTTGTAAAACAATATGAAATAGTAGTCTGCCACTGAACGCCGGATGTAAAGCATCGGCTTTGATGAAGATAATTTTGTATTTTTAATTCTCTGAAGGGCGTCACCTTAATAATATGGAATTTGTAAAATAAATGTATATATTTTTGATTGTTGATGAAGACAATCATTTTGTGTTTTCATCAGTGTTCAGAAGCAGAACAACTATAAGTTTTTTTATTTTATCACAAAAAAATAAAATGTATAAAAAACAAAGAAAAGAGTAAGAAAATGAGTATAGTCATAGAAAAAGTTAAAATTATAATATAGTATTTGTCAGTTAAAATAAAACTTTTTGTTTAAGTCTTTGCTAACTATTCGAATTTCTCCGAGGCAATTCTAAAGTATAAATTAAGGTAGTATTGTTAAGTTTATTTTTAGTTTTGATGTCAACAATACAATTCAATTTTTCACAAAAACGATTGTTGCCATTGTTAAGTTCAATGTCAACAATTCAAATTTTTCTGAGGCCTCTTAACCTCTAAATATTATTTTTTTTATGTACACATTTCTAAATGTCAGTATTCAACCACAAAACAACTTAAAGTCCTCAAATTTAGCATAAAGTTGTAAAATGTATTGAAAGAGGGTCATAGCAGTAATGAAAATAGAAGTGAAGTTAGTACTGTAAAATTAAAACAATATTTTTAATCAATGAGCCAAGTTCTTCAAGAAGCAGTTGTAGAAGTAGGTTGTTTATTTAAAACTTTTTATAGAATTTCTTTTCGAACACAATTGTTAATTTGGGCATTTGGCGATACAACACTTTTAGAATTGAAGGATTTGTTACGTCAAGCAGTCAGGTATCATAATTTTGATCTAGTTGTGCTTCTATGTAATTTTGATTTATGTTGCTAAATTAACTTTCAAAAAATTCTATGGCTGGCAACAGCACTTTTATTTTTTAAGTTGTTTATTTTTATTTCTTTTAGAATTCGTTATTTTTTTAGCGAAATGCTTTTTAACCTAACAGAATTCTTTGCCGACTGTTTTCTCTATGAATGAAGAAAATAAAGTAAATATTTAACTGCTGTGAAAAGAATCTTATTTAGTTGTACAAAGTACTTCAGTCAAAATTTGGGAGCCACGTAAGAGAATTATATATATTAGATCAGAAACACATCATTAAAAGGCAGAATGCTTTGGTGTTTTCAAAACAGAGCAAACGTTGCCACCGGCGGAAAAGAAATACAGTCAAAATTTGGGAGCCACGTAAGAGAATTATATATAATAGATTTTTTCTTTTCCTTGAAGAATCTTTTCGTTGCTTTCTGCATATTTTTATTTTATTGTATGAGCTCTGTGTACTTGCAGCTTATGCACAGTAAATAAAAATGAACTATAATTTATGTAGAAAAAGTATTCTAGATAAATGAAAATAAAAAGCCGGAGGTTCTTTCATAGACCTTGATATCAACACATGGTCTATAGCCCCTTTCTTCTAATTTTGAAACTATCTTCACTATATTAGATGATAATAAAGGTATTTGTGCTCTCTTTTCAAAAGGTTTAGTTTTCTGTTTGTTACTGCTAACCATGTGACTGTTTATTTATATTCCTTTTTTATATCGTTTTCTTAACTGATTATGTTAAGAGATATGTTTTATTAATATCGATGCTTTTTATGAAATTTTCATTCCAAAACAAGAGATAACAGTAAAAATAGATAATAACTGTAGGACGGAGTAATCTTACGTTACGGGAGTATACGTTAGCGGGATGCAAATTGCCAAACCACACCGCGGATTAGAAACTTGGCGATTGCAGTTGGAATTGGCGATGGATTACGCGTAAATGGAGGGAGAACGAAATTACATTAACCTAGACAGTGTAATTCGACATTCTTTTTCTACTCCTCGACTAGCCATGATGAATAAAAATAACTCATCAATTCCTTTTAGTACAGAATTAAATAAGAAGATAACCTTTTTACTGTTGGGATCACTTAACAGATACACTGTATTTACATTTTATTGAACGCAATAATTTATATTTTATAAAACGATCTTGTTTTTTGATGTAACTGATTTAATTTGTTTCACAGGAATTGTGTTTGCGAAGAAATAAAAATATTTTATTAATCAACCAATCGCAAAAACTAACGTAACATTTTAATACCATATTTTATTGGAACGCTATTTTGAAGAATTAATTCTATTTAACTTTTAATGTTTGAAAACATAACCTGTTTTATTTTAATGATATTCTCTATTAAATCAATCTTAATAAAAGAATAATGTAAACATTTTTTATGAAGATTTTTTTTTAGAAATTAACAAAGACATATTATTTGCTAGAAAAAAAATTAGAGTGTTCAAAAATGTTATCACGCTTTAAAGTAAAAATTTCTTGCAAATGAAATAATCGATATTTTTGAAATTTTAAAGTGATCGGAAATTCGCTAGTGGAGAAAAAAATATGTGCAATATATTTAAGAAGGAAAAAAAGTACAAATGAAGAGATTTTTCTTCAATGACCTATGTCGAGCTTGTTTTATTACTCGAAGCATTCATTGAAAAAAAAAATTATTAAATTACTTTTTTTTTCAATGGGATAAGATCTTAAACTTCGCGAAAAATTGATTCAATTCCTTGATATACATAAAAGTCCGCGAATACTTCTTTTATTACGGAGGTCATAGATGCCTTAGTCTTTCAATATTACAATAATAAATGCAATTAATAGATGATGCACAATTTCAAAAATATATTTTATTTACATATATTGCGTACAGGTTTATGCGTAACATACATACGTATCATACGTAACTGTTAAATGAATTTAGTAATTAAAAAACATAATTAAAAAATAACATATTTTAAAAACTAACATAATTAAAAAGGTATATAGTGAAAGATAATGAAAATTTTCTGATGCGATGTTGCTCTACCTTGATTTTTTCTCACATTTTCAGCGAGATTTCATTTTCTTTCTTTCCTTGAGTGTTTCTCACGAACTGATGGGCGCCTAGAGGGTATCCTCTCGCTGCCCCTGGTAACTCCAACTTTTCTTCGGCTTATTGAAGAAGGTTGTACTTTAATTTTATCTCTGGAGGTTTTAGAGATGTGACCACCAGCTGTACTTTGAAAGGAGTCCCACGCGCTCCGAGTTTTAACTCCATCAATCCTTTTCCTTATCCTGTTTAAAAGTGTTCCAGACGTGCGAAATTTCTGATGGCATCTTCGTTGAGCCTAAAATGTTAAAATAATTTCCAACGAATTTCCAATGTTAGATATGTTTAGAGTTTGCAGTAAATTATTAAAATCAGACAAACGAGTAAATAATCTTAATATTGTTTGCTTCAAGTTTCTCATTATCCGTAAATTAGAAAAATAGTCAAAGATATGAAAAAAAGAGATAATTTTCATCTTGAAATATAAAATATTTTAAATTTGCTATCATAGAAATTTTACTCATAATTTTGCTCTCATAGAAACAGTATCGTTACAAAATGTCTTATTAAAAAGAAGTCGAAAATAATATGAATATCTTATTAAACTGTGCTCACTGTACTTATAGTTTAAATGATTAGATAAAAAAAAACACCTTCAAGAAACAAATACGCAGGCTCATATAGGTTATCAGAAATTGAAAAACTACTGTATTTAACTGTCATATGCAATTTTACACCTAAATATTATTATTTTTATTCGTCCAAACGTCATTTCAATCTCGAAAACTTTTAATTTAACACTAATAGCGAACCTCTCAGTTGTCAAATATTAATAATAATTATTATTTTCAACAAATCGTTTAAACACAAATTTTTTATTCTCGAACTTTATACTATCCTTCAAATGAAAATATCAGAAAATTTATTTTAAAAAAAAATATATTTCAAAATTGAGCTATTGGCGACAACAGAGGCTAGATGTATGTACTGAACTGAAATAGATTATGTTATCGAACTCACATTTAAGACTTAGATCAATTTAATTTCTACTTCTGTGTCTAAACATTGAGAAAAGGAAAACTTTTAATTACAATAAATCCTTTTTCTAAACATTTAAGTAGTTTAACAAAACTAATTGATAATTATAAGTCGACATTTTAATTACCAATAAAACATAGCTGTGAAAGTTGATTTTTACTTTTGAAAATAGATATTCCTTTTACTTGGTTATTTTGTTTCTAAGTTCTACAAAAATGCAAAGCAAATTATTATTATCAGCAAGCTAAATGATTATTATTATTTGATTAATAATGTATTATCAACTGTTTTAGATCCATGTATTCTCCTAGCTTAAACAAGTTAGAATATGAAAAGTTCGTTTCGTTTTGGTAAAAACCATTACACGCACACACACATACATACATATATATATATATATGCTGGTGTGTATAGATATAATAGATATGTGTTAAACAATAGAGAATAATAAAAATATTTTAAGAAGGGCGCCGANACCCCCTTTTTTTCATATGTCTATAATTTTTCTTTGTTTTATTCTTCATTTTGAACTTATCTAATGAGTGCTGTTTACTTGCAGCTTAAGCGCAATAAATGATACTTATTGTTTTTCTTAACTTTCTTAGTGTTTTCTTGTATTTATTATATATATATATATAATAGGCACGTAATATGTATTCTAATTTCACTATAAAATATCATAATACAAAAAAAATTAAAGTAAAATGAAATTTTACTACTTTAACATCCGCGTCTTATTAAATCGGAAGCAGGAAACGCGAGATAATTCTAATTTCAAAGAACATAGTGTTACTTTTTGGTCCCCTCCCCTCCATCCTTTTTCAGCAGGCAGTAACTTTCAGCCGCCCTACTCCTAAAAGTGTATAAATTATTGCCACTTTACTGTTTTCACATTATAATCACGACGTTTCCCCGATTTCTTGCCTATTTTTTGCAACAGTATTGAATTTCAAGAAAAGTCGTCTAAAGAAGTAAATAAATTTCATCTGATCAAAATGTAGTTTTATATTTTTTGTCAAAAACTTGATTTTTCATCTTTTGAAATTTTGATTTTAATGCCATTTCTTCAACTTCCTTCGGGTTGTTCTTAATTTATGAATTTAATATCTACTTTATTTTTCTCTTCCCTTTTAAACTGTAAAATTCATTTTCTCCATTTGTAAATGATGGAAAAAAATTACTAATCTGATTGCGTAAACAGTTAATTCTCAAAAATGGGACATTCTAATTTAATTCCTTTTAATAGTCATTTATATTATTATTTATAATTATTTACACGAAATTATAATAAAGAAAAGTTTGATTAGAAATTTAAAAGTTTTTGCTGCAATAATCTATTTCTATTGACAAAATCCAAAAACATGACAGAATTCAAGTATTTTTTTTTTCAGAGCGAAATGCATTTTTATTTAAAAGGGAACAGTATTGACTTAATATTTATGAGATAAAAGACTCTCTAATCGCTAACACCAATAAGAGGAAAAAATTTAAATTTTTTTTCTTCTCCGCAAAAAGTTTAAAACGTAAGTTGTTGTTCTTTCATTATAAAGCAATCGCATAATATTCTCGTATCATGTAATACTTCATGACAAAGTTACTTATCTACCGTTTTACAATTAATAAATGAAATAATTTTTAAATTCTACTTGCATTTTAAAATGTAATACTCAATTGCTCAATGAATTTTACGATTATTATTATAAAACTGTGTATAATGAACATTTCAACTAAAATAATTAGTACAAAATAGCTGCTGAAAATTCTCTCAAACATTTATAAGTATTATGCATTTAAAAATTTAACCTTTTCTCGTTATTGCTAAATAATCTCTACGTCGAAAAATATTTAAAGAATTTCATAATAACTGAAAATTAAATAAAAATTTAAAAAAAATTATAAATGGTTATTGAACAGAACCATTAAGTTTAATTAATGAATACAGAATTGGAAACAAAGTCTCTGCTAAGCAATAAAAAAAATTGAGATATTTAATGTAAACAAATTTTATTGTAATCATCATTTCAATATTAAGGATTAAAAGTTATTGTGAAATTATTAATTTTAATTAGTGTGTAGGAAAAGAAGTTCACTATTCGATATATATTTAATTAAAGTTATGAAAATATAGAATTGGTTATGGAGATAATAATGTATAATTTTTTTATCTTAGTTTTAATACGACCTCTTAAAAAACGCTTATGAACACAATTTAGTTAACAGATACAAAAGATTATGTCGACGCTATAACAAAAGAAATATGCTTTATATTTCATTGAATGCAGAATTCGACATTAAATCAGAAATAATAAATAAATTAATAGTAATTTGCCTTCACAAATGTATTATTTATTTTTGTAGTTGCAGTTGATTGCTTGATGGCTATATAAACGCAAGCAGCGCATTGGCAGTCTTTTGTCTTTCTAATAGCAGCGTAACTTGAATTAAGACTGCTGTGATGGCACACATAGTCTTTTCTAAGAGGATAAGAAAAGCATAATTTAGTAACAAATTATTCTAATATATATATAGAAAAAATTATAATACAGTTAAAGAACATGTATTTGCAACTAAGTTTTTTTTGTCTCAGTTGGACGAGATCTACGTGTAATCCATGATGTGCAGGTATTAACGCTGAATGCGTCAGTCCATACGTAGATGCCATTATATGATTTAATGGACGAGCGGATTTCCATCATTTTCCCATCATATTTGGTGATGATATTCGAGAATTTGTTTGGAAGATCCGCTTCATTGATACTAAGAAGTAACGTCGCATCCATATCTAACTTGTTGAATGTTACGCGATACCGAAAACAAAACAAAAACATAAGCGCACAGCTGTTTGGCGATTGGCGAGAACGCTCCTTTAACGCTAATATAAATTTTCGCCAACCCTTTCCAATCCGCGGTATGGTCTGGCAATTCGCTAGCGGGATACGTTACCTTCAAGGTTTCTCAAAAATCGTGTTCTTAAACAAGTTAAGATATCCTCAATTTGACGAAATATTCATCGGAAGAATTTGTCAAAAAAAATGTCAAATTTGAGTACACGTTTTTTACAGAGAATCGCTTACACATTTTATTAAAACGGATTAAACACATACAAAAAAGAACATTGTTTTACATATTAAAATAAAACATTTGAAAGCGATCATAAATTTTTATTTTCTACTTATAGAAATAATTTTATACCGTATTTTTAAATTGTAGTAACATTTTTTTCTTTAAATTTCAGATTCTCAGTATCAAGGGTCAGCCATGTATAAAGTATTATTAATCTTACTACTCATTCAGATAATATCTATCCATGCAATTCTTCCAGTATGTCCAAGATATTGCCCACAAATTCAATGTGTCCCAGGTTACGCACCCAGGAGGATTGGTTGCTGCAATCAATGTGTGAAAGTTGAAAGTAAACATATTTAATAATTTTAAAGGAACACAATAGCTTATGTTTATTGCTTTTTCATATTGTTCACCATATTATTTTTGTATTTATGTATATCTGAATAATTTAAATTGGGACCTCGTATTCTAAATTTAGTACGTAAGGATAAGGGATGTTTTTCTATTATGAACTGCTACTTCATGTGCTTTGAACATCAGATACTTTTATTTATATATATTATCTTATTTTTTTCGTTTTCTATTAATTATTGCCAAAAACTGGTTTCAAATAGGTACAGAGTTCGCTGCCTTATCGCAATTTATTGGTTTAGAGACGAACCGGACAAGCTGGCCTAATCATTAAATTACGATAAGACAATATCTCTGAGCCTATTTTAATGGTACTTTTCACAATAATAATAGTAACATAATTAATAGTAACATAAAATTTTTATAAATAATAAAATATTAATGAATTTTTTTAAAATAATAAAATATCCATTTCGGAAGAGTAAAAGTGAAAGTTCAAAGGCACACGATCAACATTTCCATATTAGGAAAGCGCCCCCAGCAGCGTAGGACGACATTTCCGGTCATGGTTCCCTAGGTAATTTCTAATCTTAATAGTGTTCCCTACTTCTCTTAGAAGTTTGTCGCAACATTTAAGGAAAATCTTGCATATGTAAAGTAAGAAAAAGTATAAAAGAAAAAGTATAGTAAGTAAAGTAAGAAAAAGTATGAAGTATGAAAAAGTATATGTGATCGATTCGAACTCTTTGATATATGAAACTCTTCAAAAGCATTAGTTCTATTCTCTTAACTTCGATTTTATTGGTTTAAGCTTGAAAAGCATATTAAAAACAATGCATACACTTACATATGTGAAATCCAAAATTTTACTAATTTAGAATAAAATCTTATTTACTGAGCACTCTTTTACCTCTTTTCTTCTGATGACGATGTCCCAAATGTCCACCATCTTCTTTTCTTATTTCGGAGAGCATAAAGAAAAAAATGACACACTTTCCAATTCTTAATCAAGAAATTACACACAGGTTTGAGAATAGTTGTTGAATGCTGAATAAATGTCGTCTCACACCATTTTAAATCAGAAATATTCATATGTGTTACTTTCTAGCATTAAATATTGATAAAAGTTTCTAATTACTTATCTGAGAGAAATAAATTTATTCTGAATAGATTATATTATGTGATATCAAAAATAAATTTTCCACTAATGATTGTTTAACATTTAATTTAATAATTTCGAAGAGTATGTTTATCAGTATTTTTCTTCTTACATATTTTCAGATGAGTGCGAAACCAATTGTGAAGGAAGAATCTGCCCGATAATTGATTGTAGGGAAGGCTATGTTCCAGTAAAATCTGACTGTAGTTGCTGTGATGTTTGCAAACCAATCAAAAGTAATTACCCATATTAGATAAAACATTAATGTCTATATAAGCAGGTAAATACATGTTGACAATAAAGCTTGTTCGTACTTGGAACGAAAACTGAAACATCAGTCCCAAATGCGAGATACTCCTTGCGTGGAAGTATAAATTAATAAAATCTAAGAAATAAGCAGGTAATTGAAGAAAATGTTCTATATTTTTGTTTTAATTACACTATTGAATTTGCGAATGTAACATAATAATTTAGAGATATCTGCAGTTTTAATTAGGATTAATATTAAACACAAGATATTTATCAATGGATATTAGACAGAAATATGTTGTTCACTGGTTTAAATTAGCTTTTGTTACGATAAATGTTTTTCAAGCAAACATTTTTTCCTCATTTAAACATCCATTTGCGTTTCCTAATGTCAAAAATTCAGACTTAGTATTTTAGAAGAATTTAAAAAAATGACGCGATATTATCTGAATTTATCTTGCAATTACAGGAATTAATCCTTCTTCAATGCCCTATTTTTGTTAAGGTCATAAAACAAAGCAAACAAGCAATAGTATAGCTGCTTTATGCAATGTTTTCTATAATATAGAAAGAAGGCCATAATAATATATAATAAAAAAAATTTCCCAACCCCTCTCCCAACACTCATGAAACATATTGTTCGAGACAAGAAATAGCACTTTAACACTGTAAAAGAAAGAAGGTCGAATAACTGGACAAGAACAACTGAAATAATGTTGCGGGTACGATAATGTACGATAATTTACAGTAATGTAGAGTAATGGCTACGATAAGATAGCTTAATTAGCTCCCCAAGAGCTTAACCCTAGAATAATACTGTACAGACATTTCCCTTATATGCTCTACTCTCCCATTGTAAAATATGGGGAAATAATAAATTTTTTTTGCAGCAGGGAAGCTTGCCCTAAAAGTTGGGAAAAAGCCGGACCTAACACTCAAAGGGTTAAACCTCTATGGCTATAATAATCTTATTATAGCGTACATAAGTTTTAGCTAGGCATCTAGAAGCAAACTAAGATAGTAATTTTATTTTCCTGTTGAAATTATTTAAACCCATACATATTATAACTAACACAGACGACTAACCACCTGGATGCTGAACATTTTGAATAATGAGAGCGATCCAAAGTTTGGACTATTTATGTTAATTTTACTTTTTGCTTATTTCGTTATTTCTCGAGAAGTTTTTTTTTAAATGAATTGAAAGGTTTTCGCACTCAATTATAAAATTCGTTTATCCTAGAGACAATGTCATGTTAAAAATAACTTTTAGTAAATATTCATTATTATTTTTTTTGTAATGGTCGAAAAAAATTTGAATTGTAGGGTATACAATTTTTGCATCTGTCTAAATAATTTAAATTACATGTCAAAGTACAAAATTTGAGCAAAACCACTCAAATTTTAAGTATCTGACTTCAATCTATTAAGAACTACATGATCGATTTAACCCAAAGCTTGTTTTTTTTTTGTCATGTAAAATTACATTCTTCAAAATGATGTAAAAATTTGTATACCTTAGAGCTCGAAAACTTTTTGTCGAGGTGGTGCNGGTGTACGGATACCTTAAGAACTACATGATCGATTTAACCCAAAGCTTGTTTTTTTTGTCATGTAAAATTACATTCTTCAAAATGATGTAAAAATTTGTATACCTTAGAGCTCGAAAACTTTTTGTCGAGGTGGTGCCAGTTTACATTATTGATGCAAAATATTTAACCATTATTGCTGGAATAGCATTTTTTTTAAATTAATGTAAAAGGAGGTAATTTTTGCATATGTTTAGAGATTTTATGTGAGATATTAAACTATAACAAAATACTAACTTATCCAATGAGCGAGGAAAGCAGTACGAAGGAAACTACGAACCAATTCCGAGGTTTAACGAGCTCGGCAATGGAGGCGTCAGTTTTCATAATCGTTGTAAATTATTTCAAGTCGTCATTGTTCGAATTCCATTTTTTAATTATTTTAAATACCTTTATATAAACAAAAAAATCTGCTTAAAACACTCCGCAAAAAACTTTTGTTTTTGACTAAATATCAAAGAAAATATTAAATGGGAATGTAGAGCATGGTATTCAAATATACAATGCAAAGAAAGATACATTTCAAAATAATTAAATTTTAAATATTGTTTTTAGAGAAAATAAATAAGTAATATTATTTTCTCTTCTTTTACAGGTACATCCTAATCGTGATAATTATAGTAAAATATATGTGTAAATGAAGGAAAATTTAATAAAGTATTCATTTTCTTGCTTGTGAATTCTTCTTCTTTTTAAATTGAACGTGTGCATGAGCACGCCAACATGATATAACAATGTATTTGTATTTGATTTTGCGCCCAATTTTTTCCAAGATTTGACATTCGAAATATTTAAAATATTCAACAGTTGTGAATTTTGATCACTCTTAAAACTAAACTATAGATGCTAACCTGCTGATATTTAAACTTGTATATTGTTCCTAAGGGGAAATATGTTGAAAACTAAGTTTAATCAGAGAAATTGAAGTTTAATTCATTTCTACAACATAGTAAATGTACATCATTGAATAGTTTCCACTGAAATATGATGTTTGGATATTAAAGTTTGAAATAGAAGTATTAGATAAAAATTCATAAAATTTTGGTCGGGTTTAATTCCGCTGACTGCGCAAATTAAACAGCTGTTTCGTAATATTGACTTACGAATCTATTTCAAATCTGATTCTATAAGAAAATGAATACCAACGTGTAAATTACCGTACGTCATAAATCTTCTGTATCTTCATCTCTCAAGGGAGGAGCAATTTTTTCTAGACTAAGTTTTATTCCTTTTCTTAACCGTTTTTCATAAAAAAATCTAATTAATGTTGATGTCATAATAGATAAATTTTAAATTACAAATTGTTTTTAATTAAAAAGTTAGAAAACTTATAACATGCTGTACTAGCTTTGTAGGAAACGTTATTTGAATTTAACTGTAAGGGAAAATGTATTTTCAAAACCAAAAAAAAGAACATTTTTTCCCAATTAATTTAAATTTTATAGTAATTATTGTAACATTAAAGAAATCTAAGAAATAAAAGGAGAAAAGCTAAGAATAAGTTCTTAATTGTTGGCCATTAAAATTTTACTCACAAAGAAGATTTTTGTTTTACTTTCTAGTTAATTTCTAAGTTTATAAATATCTTGACAGATTTAATTAGTTTTGATAGGTTTAAAAATTAATAACAAAAATTTAAGCAACCTTTTGTTAAAAAAAATTTCTTTAAACAACCATATTCATCAATTTTGTCTTAAAAGAAATTGAGAAAATATCTTTAAGTAGGATGTCAATTAAATGCAGTTAAAACTAAAATTTCAAATTTCAAAAAAATTTCCTACGAGGAATTTTTCGAAGATGTGAAAATAATCTTAAAATTAGTATACAAAAATCTAATTTTGACAACAAGAATTAAATATGACATACATGTTACACTGATAATAAATTTGATTTAAATTAAGATAAAAAGAATTGGCACCCAGAGGCCTGGTACTTTTCACCGTAAAATCCATTTTTACTGAAAAAATGTACAGATCAAAAAATTTGTTTTTTTTTAGTAATCACTATAATTACTGCAAAAATTTCGGTAAAAAATTTTACAGTTAGAATACACTGCAAGGATGCTGTACTCTTAACGTAACTTTATTTGATACGAAACTTTTTTTACAGTATAGGGGAGAGTGGGGTCAATTGTAACATTTTTCACCTAACTATTTTATACTAACAAAAAATCTAATATATTATTAGTATTAATTGACACACGAGTAAAGTGGACTATCCTCTACTAGAAAAAAAATTAGTACCTTATTTTAAATGTTATTATATTAGTTATTAACAATTTTTGACAGTCGTGCACTTGTTACAATTGTAACAGTTCATATATTCAAGTAAAACATAGTTAATTATACATATTATCATAGTTGTGACAGATTTTTTATTGATCAAAATAGTAGTGATATTTGAGGAGCAAAAATAATATTGAGCAGAGACCTAAAGGATTAAACTTTTAACTTTAAGGGGTCAAAAATTTTAATTTATGCTGTGAAAGGTGACAAATAAAATAATGCACATGCAACATAATATAAATGATATAGGAAACTATTGGTGGTTCTTAAAGAGTTAAGTAATGGTTTGTAAACATAAGATTATTTA